TACATAAAAATACAAAAAAATGTACTGAATTCTCGTATTTTTTTTGTATTTTTGATTTTTAGTGAATTTTTAAAAGATTTTTTTCAATTTTTTTTTTACTTTTTAAGTATATGTATGTTAGGTATGTTTAAAGATTAAAAAAATTGTTAAAAATATTTTAAAAATTCAGTAAAACAAAAAAACACGAAAATAAAAAAGTAAAATTTTCTAAAAAGTGTTTTTAAAAAATGATAACCAAGCATATCATTGTAATTTAAACTTTTTGTTATTATTTAAGTCTCATTTGGAACTCAATATTTTAGTCTAAAAGCTAAAAAATTGTTCCAAAAAAAAAAAAAAAAACAAACAACAAAAATGGCGAGTCAATGCATTCTTATCCTTTCAATTTCATCTCTCATTCTCTTCAACGCTCTCTCTTCTACCACCACCGACACGAAGACCACAGCTTCCTCTAATCCGGCACCAATGATGTTATAGCGATCCCGATTTTCTCCTTTCTGTATTTGTTGTATTCCAAACTTTGGTTCCGCGGAGTTAGTGGTTGTATACCTTGTTGTCATCCTTTAATTCCTTATGTTTGAGTTTTAGGATGTGTTGGGCATGTTTCGAGCAGGTGGGTTGAGCCTTGGTCCAAAATCTAGTTGTCAGGTTTTTGGTCGTTCCGCTCGAGTGGGTCATATGGCGCTCGAGCGGAGATTGCACACTCCCAGTATTTTCGTGCTCTGCAAAACTTCTGCAGGTGTGATTTCTACGCTCGAGAGGATTTTCCTGCGCTCGAGCGGGTCGCGCTCGAGTAGGCTTGTTGGAGCTTGAGCAGATAGTATTTTTTTTTTGTGTAAGTTCTGGGAGGGAGAAATCCACGCTCGAGAGGACTGGTTTTCGCGCTCGAGCGGATGTACTTTATTCTTGTGTCTTGGAGCTCGAGCGGGTCTTATTGCGCTCGAGCTGACCTAGTGTTTTTGTTCTTGACGCTCGAGCGTTGTGTTTTACGCTCGAGCGGGAATGTCGTATAACAGAGGGCAGCTGGGCTTTTTTGAATCATTTTCTACACTTTCTCTCTCTCTCTCTTACTTTCCCAAGAACATTTTTGAGAGCCTCTCTCTCTAGAAACTTCCTTCTCTCTAGGATTTGATCTAGTTAGAGTGCTTTCCCTTCTTTTGCCCTTTGTAAAAGTTGTGTTGATCGTCGAGGGCTTCGTTTTGATCCGTGGATCTTGAAATTTGGAGCATTTTGGTTTTCTTCATCTTCTTCCCTTGGGCTCCGAATTTGAGGTAGGGATTCCTACTCACTCTTATGGGTTTTAACCTAGATTTTGAGCTTGTTGTTTAAATGGTTGATTTTGGGACTTAGGGTTACAAAATGTATTAAAGAGGGTTTTGTGATTTTGGGCTCATAATATGTATTTGGGTCTCAAAGTGATGATATTGTTGTTGGTTGTTGATATATAGACCATTGGGTCAATATTGGAAAATGGGGTAGAAAACCCTAATTTGTTGTAGAAATTAATTGGTATAATTAATTTGGAAAAATTGTGGTTATATGGAATTGAGTTGGAAATAATGAAATTGGCTCATTATATGGTAGAATGGTGGAGTTAGATTTATTTATCGCTCACTTTTGAAAACATTGATATTTTATCTGTTGGAGCTTTTATTATCTGTTTAGAAATAATTGCTTGGGCCGAGGTGGGTGATGCACCTTTGTTGGGTCCGGAGTTGGTTAGGGAGACGAAGGAGAAAGTTGAGCTTATCTGTAGGAGGCTTGTCACAGCCCAGAGTCGCCAAAAGAGTTATGCCAACCGTAGGAGGAGGCTTTTGGCTTTTGAGATAGGTGATCATGTTTTCTTGAAGATATCACCTAGGCGAGGTTTGATAAGGTTCGGGAAGAGTGGGAAGTTATCCCCTCAATTTATTGGTCCCTTTGAGATCCTTGAGAGGATTGGGGAAGTTGCTTATCGTTTGGCTTTGCCACTGCAGTTGTTCGGGGTTCATGACGTGTTTCACGTTAGTATGCTTCGAAAGTACGAGCCAGATCCGTCCCATGTGTTGGATTGGACCGATTTGGAGGTAAATGAGGATGCCTCGTATGAGGAGAGACCGGCTCGGGTCTTGGATAGGCGGGATCAAGTCTTGCGAGGCAAGACCATTCCCTTGGTAAAAGTTTTGTGGAAACATCACGGAGTGGAGGAAGCCACTTGGGAACGTGAGTTGGAAGTCCGTGAAAAATATCCGGACATGTTTGTTGATGAGTAATCATGTATTGAAATTTTGTAATATCGTTCAACTTTAAGAGCATTATATATGTCTTAAGTTGTAAAACATTGTGAATGTTTTGGTAAATGGAAGTTTGTTTTAACATTGTGTATGTTAAGTATATTGTGAAAATGCAAGCATGATATTAATGTTGCATGTGTTAAGGAATTGTGGAAAATGAGTTGAAATGGGTAAATTTCAAAGGAATGCATTTTGAAAATGCAAGTTGTTCTGTATAATGTGAAATGCCTCTTGAAAAGAGATGGGATTGACCGGTAATGGGTCGGAATGTTTAATATTATGTTGTAATATTGTTGGGAATGGAGAAAACTTGTTTTTGACAAACTTGTGTTTAATTTCGGGGACGAAATTCTTTAAGGGGAGGAGGTTAGAGCGATCCCGGTTTTTCCCTTTCTGTATTTGTTGTATTCCAGACTTTGGTTCCGCGGAGTTAGTGGTTGTATACCTTGTTGTCATCCTTTAATTCCTTATGTTTGAGTTTTAGGATGTGTTGGGCATGTTTCGAGCAGGTGGGCTGAGCCTTGGTCCAAAATCTAGTTGTCAGGTTTTTGGTCGTTCTGCTCGAGCGGGTCATATGGCGCTCGAGCAGAGATTGCACACTTTTGAAATTATGATTATATGGAATTGAGTTGGAAATAATGAAATTGGCTCATTATATGGTAGAATAGTGGAGTTGGATTTATTAATCGCTCACTTTTGAAAACATTGATATTTTATCTGTTGGAGCTTTTATTATCTGTTTAGAAATAATTGCTTAGGCTACTGGTGGAGGGTAGTTTTTATTGTTGTAGAAAATGCATGATGATTAGGCAAACTAAAACTAATCAATTGGACGTGTCATTGAGTATGACGGTTGATAGAGTACATTAACGTTATGTATTGATTGATTGCGTATATGACTTGTGTGTATATACGTTGTGTGTGTGAGAGGAGATAGGGGATGTACTCCACGGTTTAGGGGAAGATAGGGAATGGACCTCTAAACCGGATGTTGTGTGGGAGGAGATAGGGGATGTACTCCACGGTTTAGGGGAAGATAGGGGATGGACCTCTAAACCGGATGTTGTTTGGGAGGAGATAGGGGATAGACTCCGCTGATACAGCTCATATGCTTGTCAGTTAATGTGTTGATACAACTCATATGCTTATCTATGGAAGTGTTGATATAGCTCATATGCTTATCTGTTGAAATGTTGTTGTAGCTTATATGCTTATCTGTTGAGGTGTTGATACAGCTTGTATGCTTATCTATTGAGAGATGGAAACGTTTAATATGAACTATTATTTCGTTTAGAGTATGTGGCCAGGTTCTGAGCCACGGTTATAAATTGGAGACTGGATAAGAAAAGGAAAATGAAGTGAGACATGGACACAGTTGTCATGTCATGAAAGTGGTGTATAAATTGGTTTATATGTGTCAAACATTTATCAATTGCTAATGTTTTAGTTATTGCTCATACTGTGTTTAGCATATCTCTACTGGGCGTTGGCTCACCCTTTATAGGACATCATTTTCAGGTATAGGTAGCATGCCACCTCCAAGGACATAGCTTGGATGGTTATGGGAGTTGAAGACTCCTTTTGATTATTTTGTTTGTATTACATGTATCTCAAGCCAAGGGCTTATTTTGTATAGAGTTAGTACTCTTCTTTTTGTAACCAAGTGTTGACTTGGAAATCTGTAAGTCCGTAGGGCATTTGCTTTTGTTGTTAACATGTAATACTGTTGTAAGAACTACTCTGATGAATGGAAAGGTGTTGATTACTCTTATATTATTGCATGTCTTAAATGATGGGTTTCATGTATTATTTTGAGGGCGTTACAATGACTCTTCCTCCTCTTCCGCCACTGCCTCACCACCATCAGATCCACTCTCCAATGAAGACGATGATGACTTCTCTGACTTTGAGAACTACGATGACTTCGAAGTCCCTTTCTCCTCAGACTTCGATCAGGAAGATGAAGCTTACTCGCAACAACCTCAGATCGACGACAAGGACATTGTCATTTTGAAAAAGAGCAACTTC